GGGAAGGGCAGCCTGGGGGAGATGGGAGTGAGGGGCATGCAGGAAAATTCTTACCCTAAAATTCACCTTCTGGATCACTTGCTGGGGGTCGCTCTCCAGAATCACACTACAAGAGAGAAACCCCGGGAGGAAAATCAATGCCACGACACTCCCCTCTGCCTCTTCTCCCTGCTAAGCCTCCTCCCTCTGACCCCCACCCCCCTTACTGCATCCTGCAGCAGCCCCCCTCCCGGGGGTCCTCTCCCCCTGGTATTCCTCAGCCAGAACTCTCCCTTACTATGGACAGCCCTCAGCTTTGGTTCCTCTCCACATCAAACCTGGTCACACACTTGGTTGTCACTGGGCAAAAGCTTTGAAACGGGGTGAGGGCAGGCCGGTCTAGAATGGTCAGAGGGTCAAAAGCAGAGACGGAAACCCTTTGAGCTCTGAAAAGTTCTATTCGCATTCTGGGTGTAGGGAGGGATTCAGATGCGGTGAAGGAAGGGAGGCCCCTGGGGATCCCATTTTGTTTCACTCTTATTCTACGCCACAGGGTCATACTGTACACGAAAGTAGTGGAACAGATAAAATAAGAATCTGCCTTCCGTTTCGATAGACCCAGGTTTCAAGGCTTTGCTCAGTTTTGCTCAGTCTTTCACGACACAGCGGGGGCACTATGAAGCTGTTGTGAGGATGCTTCAGGGTGCAGGTGCGAGGGCTGGTCGCTGTGGGTGGGACAGAGGCAGTGGGATTGACCGAGTGCCCCTCTTTACTCAATGAGGCTCCTCCAATGCAGACGCCGAGTTTTTCTTTCATACCAGTCCCAGGGAAGTGAACAGATACTTCTCGAAGAGCTTCTTCCAGGCCCTATCACTGGGGCACCTGGCAGCCCCTCACCAGAGATCCTTTCACCCATAAGACAGAAACATCCCGGGGTGCCTGGGTGGCTCAGTCCGTTAAGGGTCCGACTTTGGCTGAGGTCATGATCTCGCCGTTAGGGAGTTTGAGCCCCATGTCGGGCTCTGTGCTGACAGCTCGGAGCCTAGAGTCTGCTTCGGATTCTGTGTTTCCCTCTCTCTGCCCCTCCCCACCTCGTGCTCCGTCTCTCAAAAATAAATAAACATTAAAAAAAAAAAATACAGAAACATCCCAGCCAAGGTTCCAGTCCTGGCACTGTCTCAACTGACATTCCCTGATTTTCCTTGGAGGGAAACTGAGTTCCTCAGGGGGGCTCAGAGACCTGGAGGCATATAAAGCTTACATCCTCCCTTCCAAGGGCTCTTCCAAGGCCCTGCGCTTCATTTCATATTTGTAATAGTGTGTGCATTTGTGTGTGTGTGTGCGCGCGCGCGCGCGTGTGTGTGGCTGTGCTCCTTAAAGAGGTTCCGCCAAACTGCATATACTTCCGGTCCCACGAAGCCTGGGTCTTATCCCACTCACTTTGGGGTTCTGGCAATTAGCACAAGGCCTCGCCTCAACAGGCAGTCGACAGAGAGGGAAGGAGGAGGGAAGGAGAAAGGAGTCCCGCCGTACCCCATCTCCCAGAGTGTGTGTGGTGGTACAGTGTCGTGGAAAGAGCATAGTCTCTGGAACCATGCACATGGTGTTTGATCCTGGCCCTGCTGCTCCCTAGTCATGGGACCTTGGAAAGGTCCCTTGAATTTCTGAACCTCTGTTTCCTCATCTCTAAAATGGATGTTATGAAAGAGGCATGTTTTTAAGGTGATTGGTTTCTGTTATCCTTTGCCCCAGAGCCAGAATTTCCTTTTCTCCCTCGATATCAACGCCCCACCCCATGGAAATTCACTAATCAACCCTTCTCGCAAGAGCTCCCGGCTTCCCACGAACATCCTAGCATAGCGGTAGCATAGCAGTTTATTGAACGAGAGCCCAGAGCCGTGAACTTCACCTGCCTCGCTTCATTGAATCCCCACTGCCTATGAGGAAGGTAGTCAGTCCCCTATCCCCATCGGAAAGATGAGGAAAGGAAGGCTGAGGCAGAATGAGCAGTGGCCCAGGTCACGCATCTAGCTGAGGTTAAATTGGAGCTCTAAGAGCGGGAGGTATGCAGGCAGTAGGGAGCAGGATGGAGATCTTCCAGAGAGGGGCAGGGGCCTGTGCTGCCCCTTTTTTTCTGGGCACTGGAGATCAAACCATTCCCCAAACCCTGCCTTTCAACAGTCTGCCAGAGTTCAGCATCAGATGACTTTCTTGTTTGCTTGACTTTGGCTAACATGGAAATCAACCTCCATCCTCGTGAGTGGGGTGGGGGGATGGGAGCACTGGGAATATGCCGGGGTGGGGGGCAGGGAGGGAAGAGTTGGCCAGAGAGCCAACAGTGTGCTTGGTACAATCTAGTGCTGTTGACCCTCAAAGGCACCTCCTGCTGTGAGTGTCCCTGAGCAGCCCCTCTTCTCTCCGGCCCTGGTCCTCACCCGCCATCCACAATCTCGTCCAGCACCAGGAAGGCTCCGTCCATGTTCTCCAGCAACCAGCGCTTCTCCACGTTCTTCCTGAAGGCAGACAAAGCTCCTGGCCGTGAGGAGCTGCGTTTCTGCCTAGATGAGGCAGACTCTCTCTCCTTCCACCCATCCCCCCACCCCACCCCCCGACAAGCACTGGGGAGGAGAACACCAAGGGCAGTGAGGGAGCGCCTAGGCAAGGGATTCCTGAGCAGAGGACAGGTCTGCTTCCTTAGGCCCTCCTCCGCCCGACCTCCCACACGTGGGGCATTGACATTACACCCCCCGAGTGACCCCTAATGCATTTCATGGCTAGGTTAGATGTCACAGCCATACTATACTTGATTGTCTCGACTGTGGACATTTATGGTTGGATTATCCTGGTTTGATTTACCCAAGCCATGTTCACTGGGATAGATACCAGGTAACTGAATGGGGAGGCAATGGAAACCACCCTGAACTTCAAGGAAACAAAACAAAACAAAACAAAACGGAATTTGGGTCTCTGTTCTAATGTAAACAGATTGCAACCTCAGGCAAATCACCCAGCTTCTCTGGACCTCATTTTCTGGCCAAACCCTCCGGTGGCTCTGCTCTAGGTGATACCGCAGTGGTCCCGGGAAGGGCAGGGGCCTCGAGGCGGATGCTCTGGCTCCAGTCTTAGTCTTTTGGGGACTTCAGGAGGAAAGCAGAGGAAGGGCCCTGCCTCTGTGATCTATCAAGGCCTGGGGGATGAAGGCCTTGGAGGGCAGAGGACCTCACTCACCTTAACACGTGGTTCAGGGACTCAAACAGGCAGGTGAGGACAGACATGAGCATCAGCTGAGGATGGGTGGAGACGGGAGGAGGAAAACACAAGAGCTTGAGGTCGAGAAGGCCAAACGGAGAATCCAGGGCCTACCTGTGTGGGCAGCTGTCCCCTTCCAGAGAGGACAGGGCTGGAGACTGAGTGCAGCTGGACCTCAGGCGTGCGTGCCTCCCTGGCATGGGCTGAGAAGCACTGGAGTGCCCCACTGTGGGACACTGAGTGTACCCTTCCCCAGTGGTATTTTAAGGAAGAAGCAAAGACTCCCTGCAGAGGACTTCACTTCTGGTTCCCAAGGACACTAAGAGGCACCGTGGATATGAACCATCCCAGAAGGAGCCGCTTCTGGCTGCTCCCCATCCCCCAGAGCCTAGAAGGAGGGGTACCAATGAGGAGCCTTCAGAACCCAGCTTCTACCCCGGAGCCCGAGCCGTAGACAGACCCTCCCCATCACCCCAACCTCCTGAATTCACCTCATTCTCGTGGGAGGAGCCCACCACATACAGGAAGAGGTCAATGCTGCTCTTGTAGACGATGGTCATGCCCCCGAAAAATGCAATCTCACCTAGAAGTGGAGGGGGCTTTCAGGTCTGGCCACCTCTGCCGGGTCCCTCCTCCTGATCTCCAGCTCTGCCCGTCTCCCCCTTTTTCCTCCTCTTTCCAAGGAACCCTTGACAAGACTAGCGCAAGGGACACTACCACCGGGCTGCTGTGTGTCCTTTCCTCCAGGCTCTACTCTATTTCTAGAGACCACCTCATTCTGAGGAGTCAACAAACCCAGTGCAGGGTTGACTTCCGCCCCCCGCCCCCCACCCCCACTATGTGCAATGCCTTGTGGGGACATACAATGCCACTGGCCTCTTCTGCCGAGAGAGAGGTCTTGCCGTGTTGGGGGGTGGGGTGGGGGGTAGAGTGGGATCGGGAGTGAAGGTTCCCTACAGGAAGGGAGAGAATAACAGCTGGGAAGGAGAGGAAAAAGAACCTCTGAGAAAAAGGGGATGGCCTGTGGGTACGTATGGCTGGTAGGGACAGATGTGTCCAGATGGAGAGGACGGTGAAGTGCATCTGAGAGTTCTGAGCAAGGAAGAGGCAGACACTTACTGTCAGTTCGGCTGGTCTTGCTGAAGACATTTTTCTCAAAGGCCATCTGCTCCTTCAAGGAGGGGAATGTATCATCATAATACTATGAGAAAGGGAAGGAGAAGGGGTGACAGGTTTCCACAGAGCCTGGATCCCCCCTGGACGGGCGGCAGAGAATGTAGGTGCTGGCCAACCAGAGCCCCATCTCCTCTGTTTGTTGCCCTTTAGGCCGTATGCTCGCTGTTTCCCCATAGACACAAATTTTAAGCAAAGAACGTCGTAAGAAGTAGAGGAATTTTAAGCCCTGCCTTTCGGAGCCCTCTCCTGATTTCCTGGCGGCTTTTGGCCATTTGGCAGATGTGCTGTGCGCTAAGGACTGGGGTGGCCACTAGGTCCCACCGTTTCTACAGGAAGCGGAGTCTGCAGGAAAGATGGCAGAGCCAGGGGGCCCTTGTGACAACCATCACCGTCATGACAGCTACTTTATTATCCCCATTTTGTTGATGGGGAAGTTGAGGCATGAAGAAATCAGATGATCTCCCCCAACATCTCCTAGTTGTAAGGGGCAGAGCCAAGCAGGGTCTGACTGTAGACAGGGGAAGGCTAAGTATTTAAGGGAACGTTCCCAGCACCCACCAGCTAACTAAATCAATGCTTTCGTGTTTGGCTTTGGTGAGCCCGTTTCTCTGACTCAGTTTCTTAATCTGAACAGGGATGGGTCCCGCTGGGAGGAGGCCCTAGAGCCTAGGCATTGCTGATCCACGTCTGATCATCTGCTGGAGCACAGTGTGGTCGGCTGAGCTTTCAGCGTTCTGGATGTGGATTTTGCCACTTGGTAGTCCCCTCTGCAGGCATCTTAGTCGCCTCCCTGCTGGCCACTGCTGTGGCGAGCAAGCTCATTTGAATACCAGGAAGACAAAAAGTTTCAGTCCCAAACAAACAAACAAACAAACAAACAAACAAACAAACCTAGAAGGCATTTCGTAGCTAGTTTAGGTGCCATAGCCCTGCTGTAGCTGATTGTGCTGACGACAGACATTAATTTTCTGGATTATCCTAGTTCGGTTCCCCCAGGCCGCGGAGGACAGATACCGGACAACCGGATGGTTGGTGTAGTGAAAATCACCCTCCCGAGCTTCAGGTCGGAATACCTGAGTTCAGATCTGTGTTCTGATAGTGGTACTTGTGACCTCAGGCAACTCATTTAGCTCTCTACACCACATTGTCTTCATTTATGAAACGAAAAAGTTGGGTCGTCTGGTCTCTAAGATCTCTAAGCTACGTTCTCAGACTTCTCCGACTAAATCCTCAGTGTTTACCAAACTGTAGGAGAAAAGTGGAGGTTGCCTCTTTAGAGTTGGGGACTAAGACTCCTCGGCTCCAAGCTCAACACTCCACTGACCTCTCAGGAGGTCCCTTCCATGCCCAAGGTCCAGCTGGCCAGTGGAAAGAATGGTAAGAAGACATTTCAGGGAATGTGAGTGGAAAGAGGGGACTTCAGGGGCCAGCAGTCTGACAAGGCAGGAGGATGCACAGAATGATCTTTGGAGGGGGTCTAAGCCCGGCTGCTCTGAATCACAGAGCCCACAGTGGGGATCTCCTGAGAGGGGAGTCAGCTGGGATGGGGACTTCTGTTTTGGGGGCTGGAGCACCGTGTGTTCAGGGGCCTTCTGGTGAGGGTGGGAGGTTACCTTGGCTAGGAGGCGGTGTCCGTCATTATCTAGGATGAAAACAGCCTTGACGGTGTAGAGGGAAGGTTCCTGCAACTGACACCAGGGGAGAGCTCCGTTGGCTCCTGACTCAAGGCAGACACCCTGCCATTGGCTCTATGGCATCTGCTGGCCCCAGGGGTCCATCCTCAGGCTCCAGCGACCCCAAAGGTCCACAGCTGGTTCTGGCCCAACCCTGTGCTACCCGGGCCAACTCCAGCGCCTGCTCCACTCCCAGGCAGATGTTCCACTGCAGGCCCCGGGTGGGCGCTGTGCCCATTGGGTGCAGAAGGTCCGTCCGGGCCCAAGTTCTGTCATGCACTGACTGCTCCAGAGCCCGAGTCGGAGTGTATCACAGAACCTGGGCCGGGGGGACAGCGGCGCCGAGCCTCCTCCTTCCAGCGAACCCCGGGCCGAGGCTGGACCCGCGCTCTCAGCGCGCCCCCAGCCCCCTGGCCCGGGGAGGGGGGCTCCAGAAGCACGCACGTCAGCCGACGGCCCGTGGGAC